TGCTAATCTTTTCTGCTGCTGCCGTTCGTCTGACTTCGGCGAACTCTATACCGGCTTCTTTTCTTCGGTGAGTTTACTGTTTCTCCTAGTTTCAGTTTTTGATGCTCTCCATTACTCGTTGCCATTACTGCTTTGCTCAAACATTCGATTTATGAATCATGTATATGAGTATGTCTATTTCATGACTTTGTTTTGCCATGTTTTGAATACATGCACTGCCCACGATTTTCCTGCACTTTTGCCACTGTTCTTGGCTTTACACTTTTGCGCTCATTCTGCCACAGTGTTCTTGATTCTAAAACACATTCTTGCTTTTCTTATTTCTCTGTGATTTTTCCAGATTCGTGCCTTCAATCCTCGTTTCCATAGATCTAGGTTTTGGGATTTGTTTGTAGAACCTACGATTCTTAGAAAAAACTGAAACGATTTCCCACTGATTTTGTATATTTTTAGGTTTTAGCCGAGGTCCCTAAAACCCTCCAAAACATTCCTTTCTGAATTTCAACTCTTCCTAGTTAAGCCGATATCATAGGTATGTGGAAGTAGGGTTGACACCCCGACAAAGTTAGAGCACTTTAGGAGAGAGTTCGACATCCCGACTGACGTTCATCTGAGGTTGGCTGGGGAGAATGACTCTATCATGCCCACAACTGATTCTATACCCTTTCCCGTTGTAGCCTTTATCGAATGCAGACTTCGGCTCCCACTCAATACCCTTTTCCGTGAGATACTTCATTATTATAAGTTGAACTCGATGCAGCTTGCCATCAACTTCTACCAAGTCATTAATGGCATAATTGCCTTAGCCAAACAAGAAAGCACTAGGGTTACCTTTGTCGATATCCAATACTGCTACACCATGTGTGGCCTCAAAAAAGATACGGGCTACGTTTACTACCTCAAGCCGAGGTCCACAGAGTACAAAATTGTCGCCGACCTCCCTGACTCTAACAAGGGAGCTGAGGATGACTATTTCATTACCTCGGGGAACTGGGAGTTCGCTCCAGACGAGGACCTCCATCTCTACCCTCTTCCTCGATCAGTTTTTGTAGAGGGCAATGGTAAGAGCCTTGTGTTCGTGCTAGCTTGTTTTTTTAAAGTCTTCAATACTTTGTTTCTAATGTCTGTTTTTCTTGCAGCTCTTCCTCAGCCACCAAAGGACTTCCGTCAGTCTTTCTTTCCCCGCAAAGACTTGAGGAAAATTTTGGATCTGCCAGTTCACAAACGGAGAGCCCCTCTGGTACTCAATTTCATCCCAACTTACAAATCGGCGCTACCCGACGTCCCAAAGAAGAAGAAGAAGAGCTAGTCACCTCCTTCTGTCACAACTCCTCAAGCTGCCTCCTCATCTCGGCCAGATCAAGGATCGACCTCTGATGTAGCTGAGCAGCAGTCTACCTCAGCTCCATATTTGATCCCAATATCCCAATGCTGTCGACGACGCCGAACAGTTTTTGCTGCTGAAATGGGCCGCCAAAAAGCAGTCTCTAAGGATCTTTTGGCCAATATTCCTGATTCAGTTGATGCTCAACTAGCACCAACCTAGCCTCCAAAGCCAAAGCAAAAAAGGATAAAGAAGGCCCAGCCAAAGGCAACGGTGACTCAGATTGACTCTGAGGACACCTTGCCAATTTCCAAATTGGCTGAGAGTGAGAAGACCACCTCTGTCCCAGAGAAGAGGTCTGCTGAAACACAACCATATGAATCCACCAGATCAAAAAGACAGAGGTCATCCTCTGCAACCACCTTGGGGTCCCTAAAATATAATGCCCCCTGGGCCCCCAAAATCGTACTGGAGGACAAGCCAGTTAGGGTAGTTGGAGAGTACTGGCAGAATAGATGACACCTGGCTGACCTACAACAGAAAGAGAAGAATCCGGCGGTGGTTCGTCGACCCGGGGGCACTCTGACGATCAAGTCAGTATATCTCTCAAAGATAATCAATAGTGCTTAACTCACTATTCAGAATATAAATTGCGTACCTTAGACCCATCGGGGGTGCCTTTCTTTTATAGCTAATTCAATCCTAGTCCCCATAGAAACCTAACTTTAATGGACTTCTGGTCAGTGCTTATCCTGGACTCTCCAAGAGATACAGATAAACTCCCTAAGAGTGTTATTCTTATCCATCCTGAAGTTCTTCATCATTCTAGGACTCTTGTGTTTTATCCGCTTATCCTGGATTCCGATATCTTCGGAGATAACCTCGACTTAGCCAAGATCACCACGGCGTTATGATCAGGACATGTGGCACCTCGACTGACACGTCGGTGTCACCTCGGCTAAGTGTTTGTACTCAGAAAATATATCCCCACAACTGTCCCCTGATTCTATTACCTCTGCATCCTGAGGTGATGAAACCTATATCTTTGCTTGATTCCAACACGTCGGCTTAAAATTTCTCAACCGAGATTATTATACAGGCCGACATGTCTGTTTTTTTAAAGAACAAGAATTCTAAGAGCTCCTTCATGCGTATGAGCTGTCAAGCATAATAACTCAACCGTTTTAGCCACGTGTTTTCTCCTTACTGGATCGTATTTCGCACGCGCTTGTAAGTCGTCTCGCGCTTGCATGCACCGTCTGACAAATCCATCTTTCCAGGCTCCTTAATTTTACTTTGCCGCCGTTTCAAGTTTTAACAAAACTTTTCCCCCTCTTCCATCCTTTCACTTTTTTTTTATCGTTTCTGAGGCTTTCTCTCTCTTTAGCTTTTTCTTCCAAATCCTCCATTGCTCAAGCTTCTAAAGCTCTGCAACTTGCGCCGTCCACCTCCTCCGGCGAGGTTCTTGCTAATCTTTTCTGCTGCTGCCGTTCGTCTGACTTCGGCGAACTCTATACCGGCTTCTTTTCTTCGGTGAGTTTACTGTTTCTCCTAGTTTCAGTTTTTGATGCTCTCCATTACTCGTTGCCATTACTGCTTTGCTCAAACATTCGATTTATGAATCATGTATCTGAGTATGTCTATTTCATGACTTTGCTTTGCTCATGTTTTGAATACATGCACTGCCCACGATTTTCCTGCACTTTTGCCACTGTTCTTGGCTTTACACTTTTGCACTCATTCTGCCACAGTGTTCTTGATAGTCCATCTTTGTTCTTGATTCTGAAGCGCATTCTTGTTTTTCTTTTTCCAGATTCGTGCCTTCAATCTTCGTTTCCATAGATCTAGGTTTGGGATTTATTTGCAGAACTCAAAACAATTGTTAGGGAAAATTGAAACGATTCCCCACAGATTCTGTGTATTTTTAAGCTTTAGCCGAGGTCCATAAAACCCTTTAGAAACACACCCTTCTGAAATCCGAACCCTTCAGTTAAGCCGATATCATGGGTATGTAGAAGCATATGGTAGACACCCTACCCAAGTTAGAGCACTTTAGGTGAGAGTTTAACATCCTGGCCGACGTCCATCTGAGGTTGATTGGGAATGATGACTCCATCATGCCTACAACTGATTCTATGCCCTTCCCTGTGGTAGCCTTCATTGAGTGCGGACTTCGGTTCCCACTCAAGACCCTTTTTCGTGAGATACTTCACTATCATAAGTTGAACCCGATGCAACTCGCCATCAATTCCTATCGAGTCATCAATGGTATCATAGACCTAGCCAGACAAGAAATCGCTAGGATTACCTTAGCCGATATCCAATACTGCTACACCATGTGTGGCCTCAAAAAAGATACGGGCTACCTTTACTACCTTAAGCCAAGGTCCACAGAGTACAAAATTGTTGCCGACCTCCCTGAGTACAAAATTGTCGCCGACCTCCCTGACTCTAACAAGGGAGCTGAGGATGACTATTTCATTACCTCGGGGAACTGGGAGTTCGCTCCAGACGAGGACCTCCATCTCTACCCTCTTCCTCGATCAGTTTTTGTAGAGGGCAATGGTAAGAGCCCTGTGTTCGTGCTAGCTTGTTTTTTTAAAGTCTTCAATACTTTGTTTGTTTCTAATGTCTGTTTTTCTTGCAGCTCTTCCTCAGCCACCAAAGGGCTTCCGTCAGTCTTTCTTTCCAGCAAAGACTTGAGGAAACTTTTGGATCTGTCAGTTCACAAACGGAGAGCCCCTCTGGTACTCAATTTCATCCCAACTTACAAATCGGCGCTGCCCGACGTCCCAAAGAAGAAGAAGAAGAGCCAGTCACCTCCTTCTGCCACAACTCCTCAAGCTGTCTCCTCATCTCGGCCAGATCAAGGATCGACCTCTGATCCAGCTGAGCAGCCGTCTACCTCGGCTCTATATCTGATCCCAATATCCCAACGCCGTCGACGATGCCGAACAGTTTTTGCTGCTGAAATGGGCCGCCAAAAAGCAGTCGCTAAGGATCTTTTGGCCAATATTCCTGATTCAGTTGATGCTCAACCAGCACCAACCCAGCTTCCAAAGCCAAAGCAAAAAAGGATAAAGAAAGGCCAGCCAAAGGCAACGGTGACTCAGATTGACTCTGAGGACACCTTGCCAATTTCCAAATTGGCTGAGAGTGAGAAGACCACCTCTGTCCCCGAGAAGAGGTCTGCTGAAACACAACCATCCGAATCCACCAGATCAAAAAGACCGGGGTCATCATCTGCAACTACCTCGGGGTCCCTAAAGTATGATGCCCCCTGGGCCCCCAAAATCGTACTGGAGGACAAGCCAGTTAGGGCTGGCGATAGCGTTGATGACATTAATGTCGGTGTTGCCCTTAGTACCGCTCTGCTTCTTCTCGGCGATCTCGACCGAAACGCCGAGCTGAGCGAATATGAAAACTATGCTTTGATGCTCCAGCGCTCCGTTCAAGTAAGTGTCTTTATTTGGTAACTTTTTTTTATTATTTTTTATTTTTTATACTTTAGCAAATTTTGTAATAACTTCTGCTTCGTTTAATTTTCTCTCAGGCAATCCAGTATGCCTACTCCTTCTCAGTACAATCTTTTGAGAACTAGAAGGAGCTGGCCAACAAAAAGAGGGAGGTTGCTAGTCTGCAAAAGACTAATAAAAACTTGCAATAAAAAATGAAGACCTTGGAGGATCAAGCCGAGGCTGCTATCAAAGCTCAAAATGTTGCCGAAGAAAAGGCGGAATCCGCTAAGGCTATTAGGAAGGTTCTCGAGGCCCAAAAAGGAGAGGCCGGGGAAAAGATGTCTCAGGTCCAGAAAGAACTTCAGGATGCTCTAGCAATAAAAGAGGCTGAAGTCAAGGCCGCCGATGAGAAGGGGTATAATGAGGGGGTGGCCGATGTCACGGCGGATTACGAAAAACAAGTAAAGCAGGCATGCAATAAGGGTTTTACCCTTGGTTGGATGTCTTTACTTAAAAAGCTCAAAATCCCCGATGACTTCCCCTTCAGGAACACCGACGTCCTTCCTCTGCCATTCCCCCCAACTCCAACCCAATCCGACGACGATTCTGAGTCTGAGGAGGAGGTTCTGGTGAGGAAGTCAAAGGAGGCTGCTGGGGCCAAGTCCCCTACTCCAAATGAGCAAGTCCTGGACTTGACTCAGGATGAGGAGGGTGAGGAGGTGCCCAAGGATGCTATACCTGAGAAGGCATCTTCAGATGTGCCTCTCGCCGACAAGAGCCTCGATCAAACCCTTCAAGAAATCGATGCCAAGCTTGCGGCCGAGAAGGCTGCCGAAATGTCTTCCCAGCAGTCGTTTGAACCAACCATCTGCTGTTGCTGAGGAGTCTTAATTTTGATGTTTTTTTCCTTTGTATTTTGTACTTTTGTTTTTCTTATTTTTGGAACAATTTGTAAGCTTTGGCCGACATGCCTTCTTTTGAACGTTAATACAACTTTCCTTCTTGTATCTTTGTCTTCTCTTTACTGCTCTTGTTTGATTCCATACTTAGAATATTTTTCATATCTTTAATATACACTTCAGTCTTGTGTAACCTTCTTGGGGTGACACGCCCTGGTTATACAAACTGATAATTTACCTTGGCAAATACCTAAGTACCTCTCTTGGCACACCCTTGGTTTCAACTTGTAAATTTCTTCATAAAATTTCAACAAGTGTTTTACCTTGGTTTAACTTTATCTTGTAAACTTTTCTCAAGTTTAAACATGTGTTAAACATGATTTCGGTTTAACTTCAACTTGTAAACTTTTCTCAAATTTCAACAAGTGTTAAACATGATCTCGGTTTAATTTCAACTTGTAAACTTTTCTCAAGTTTCAACAAGTGTTAAACATGATCTCGGTTTAACCTCAACTTGTAAACTTTTCTAAAGTTTTAACAAGCGTTAAAACCATTTTTCTTTTCTCTGCCCCCTAATGTGAATCTAAGTTCCACTTGGGTTCTCATTATACATGTATTCCAGAAACAACGTTATGTATTTTTATCAGTCACAAGTGTATAAACAAATAAACAAGCTAAAACTTTATTTATTTACTTCGGCAAATGACAAAAGAACCAAAAATTCTAATGATAGAAAAATTTCAAATTGCAAGTGTTCCAAAGCCTTGGCAACTCTTTGCCCTCATTATCTTCAAGCCGATATGCCCCATTTCCTAGTACCGAGATGATTCTGTAGGGAGAATCCTTCCCAATTTGGGCCAAGCTTCCCCTCTCTAGGATCTTTTTTGTTGTTGGCGACTTTTCTCAAGACGAGGTCACCGATTTGAAACTCCCTTGGGTTGACCTTCTTGTTATAAGCTCTGGCGAGCTGCTGCTGGTATGCTGTGAGCTGAATTGCAGCTCTTTCTCTTCTTTTTTCTAGAAAATCCAGATCTCGGGCTAAGAGTATATCGCTAGTCCCGTTTTCTGCTCCCTGGGATGCCGACCTCCAGTGGAATGATGGCTTCTGTGCCATAAGACATGGCAAAGGGGGATTTCCCTGTTAGTCTTCTCGGCGTAGTCCGATATGCCCAGAGTACATTGGGCAATTCATCCACCCACTTTCCTTTTGCTTCTTGGAGCGTCTTCTTTATCCCATCCAAGATCACTTTGTTGGATGCTTCTGCTTGTCTATTGCTTTGGGAAAAGCTTGGGGTTGAAAAGTAATTCTTGATTTAAACTTTGCACAGAAGCTCTTGATTAGTTTATTGTCAAATTGCGTTCCATTGTCTGCAACTATTGCTTTTGGAATCCCAAACTGGGTGATGATGTTTTTCCATATGAAGCTCTTTACATCCATATCTCGAATCTTGGCAAGGGGTTCAGCTTTTATCCACTTGGTGAAGTAATCTGTTGCCACCAGCAGGTACTTCCTTTGTCCAGTTGCTTGGGGGAGTTGTTCAACAAGATCCATGCCCTATTGGGCAAACGGCCAAGGAATGGATACTGGGTTCAGGTTTGCTACTGGTTAGTGTATTAGAGGTGCAAACCTTTGGCACTTTTCACACTTCTTCACATAGGCTTCTGCATCTTTCTGCATGTAGGGCCACCAATACCCCTGGGTAATGGCCCTATAGGCAAGTGATCTGCCCCCAACGTGGCTTCCACATATTCCTTCATGAATTTCATATAAAAAACCTTCAACTTGTAAAGGATGTACACACCTCAAAAGGGGTCCAGTGAAGGATCTTCTGTAGAGATGTCGCTTTGTTGTCAGACTGAACCTTGCCGACTTCAATTTGATCTTGTGCGTCTCTTTGTGATCATCTGGCAATCTTCCTTCTTTTAGGAATGCTGCTATTGCATCCATCCAGCTTGGTCCCATGTCCACACATATTACTTCACGCTCTGTGGTCAGTGGTTCGATGCTCGGGCCTGACAAATAGTCAACCATTATTGTCCTTGCTTTTCCAGGTTGTACTGCACTAGCTAGGTTGGCCAATGCATCGGTGTGACTGTTATCATCTTGGCTAACCTGAAGTAGTCGGCAGTTTTGAAACAAGGCCGCTAACCTGATGACCTCTTTTACGTTGGCCGACATGCTTTCATCTCGGGCTACAAACTCTCCCGTTGTCTGGTTGACTATAAGTTGTGAGTCACAAAAGACTATTACCTCATCTGCTTGTACTGCTGCTGCCAGTTTCAGTCCTGCGATGAGTGCTTTATACTCTGCTTCATTGTTTGAGGCTTTGAAGCCCAAACGAATCGATTGTTCTAGTACCTGCCCATCTGGGGATATCAGTACTACTCCTGCCCCTGCTCCTTGTCGGTTTGAACTCCCATCAACAAACAGTCGAAAAGAGTCGCTGATGTAAATGCTGCAGGGTTTGAGTTTTTCTTATTTCCTTTGTTCTTTTGCCATTGGCTGGGCTCTTCTTTGCTTGTTTAGGCATCGTTCACCTTGGCTCAACAGAGCCCGATGTTTGATGGATTCTGGTGTGAACTCCGCCACGAAGTTGGCCAAAACTTGGCCTTTGATTGCTGTTCTGGGTCTGTACTCCAGGTCATATTGGCCCAAGGCGACTGCCTGTCTGGCTATTCTTCTTGTCAGGTCTCCTTGTTGCAGCAAGGACTTCAAGGGGTGTTCAGTTAGCACCACAATTTTATGGGCCTGGAAGTAATGGTTCAGCTTCTTTGAAGCCATTACTAAAGCCAGTGTCAATTTCTCTAAGGGTAGATACCTCGTTTCTGCATCGGCCAGGGTTTTGCTTACATAGTAAACAACCCTTTGCTCCCTTTTTTCTTCTTGGATTACCACCGCGCTTACTTTGTGTTATGAAACTGCTAAGTACAAAAACAACTCCTCTCCAGGTTCTGGATTTGAGAGAACTGGAGCCGTGGTTAGATACTTTTTCAAGTCGACCAAGGCGGCTTCGCACTCCTCGATCCATAAGAAGTCTGTGGCTTTCTTCACTAAGTTAAAGAAAGGTTTGCATTTGTCTGAGCTTCTGTTTATGAACCTATTTAGGGCTGCGGCCCTTTTAGTCAACATTTGTGCCTATTTTGCCGACGTCGGGCTCTTTAATTCCAGGATGGCCTTAATCTGATCTGGGCTGGCCTCAATGCCCCTTCTAGTCACCAGGTATCCCAAAAACTTTCCAAATCTCACTCTAAATGCACACTTCGATGCATTGAGTTGGAGCCGATATGTTTTAAGGATGTCAAAGACTGCTTTTAGGTCGACCAGATGACCTTCAGGTTCCTTGGTCTTCATGACCATGTCATCGATGTAAACTTCCACCATTCCGCCAATCAGGTGTTTGAACATCTTGGTTACCAGTCTTTGGTAAGTTGCTCCTGCATTTTTCAACCCAAAAGGCATCACTTTGTAGCAGTACAACCCTTTGGGAGTGATAAACGCACTCTTCTCTTCATCTGGGGGGTACATGGCTATCTGATGGTACCCCCTGTAAGCATCCAGGAAACTCATCCTTCCATGCCCTGAAGTGGCGTCTACCAGTTGGTCAATCTTGGATAGAGGAAAGCTGTCTTTGGGACAGGTTTTGTTCAGGCTGGTAAAGTCCACGTAGACTCTCCACTTACCATTCTTTTTCTTCACCACCACTGTATTTGATAGCCATGTCGGCTAATTTACCTCTCAAATGGCCCTGGCCTCCAGAAGTCTGTCTACTTCCTCTTTCACTGCTTCGACGTGCATCAACGTCGGTCTTCTTACTCGTTGGATTACGAGTTTTGCCGACCTATCAACGTTCAGTTTATGGTAAGTGACCTCGGGGTCAATGCCAGGCATTTTGTAAGGCGTCCCAACAAACACCTCAATATTTTCTCTCAAGAAAGCTTCTAATTCTTTTTCCTCTTCTTCGGCTAAGCCCGAGCCGAGAAGAAAGAAGCGTTCTTCATCCCCCTCTTGGACGATGATTTTCTTTAGTGCTTCTTCACTCTTCTCGGCTGGCTCCTTCCTGACATCCTCTAGGACTTCCACGTCCTCATCTTCGATCTCTGCCTTCTGTGGTTCTCGTATGCTGCAGGTGGATTTCATTGCTGCCATGGTGCAGTTCTCTGCCTGCAGCTGATCTCCTTTGACCTCCTCTATCCCATGCTCTGTTGGGAACCGTAATAGTTGATGCAATGTTGAGGGAACAACTCCCATTGCATGCAACCATGGCCTTCCCAAGATAATATTGTAAGGGGAGGGCGTGTCGATCACGGTGAACTCTTTCTTTATCTTCTTGGTGCCAGCCTGCACCTCCAAGCTTGTTGCGCCCAGTGGCCATGTCAGTGTTCCATTGAACCCGACCATCGGGCCGTTGGATTGCTCCATATCATCAGGGTGAAGGCCCAGTTCCTTGTAACATTGGACATACATGATGTCACAAGAGCTGCCTTGGTCGCTGAGGATGCGCTTCACTTGACACTCCCCAACCTGGAGGGATACTACCAAGGCATCTTTGTGCGGATACTGGACCATCTCCAGGTCGGTTTCAGTAAAGGACACTACTGGTCCTTGGTACTCATCTGCCCAATGTCTCTTTTCCCCGACATGGTACACATGCTGCAAGTGCCTCACCTTCTGGGTCTCCCCTCGTATTTCGTTTTCGTTGACCTTCGAGTGAATTACATTAATCACCCGAGGTCCGCCTGCCTGCAGTTGCTGTGCTGGGGGAGGTGGAGCTGCCGGTGCCTGAGGCAGTTTTGCCTGCTCTTCTCTTGTCCTGGCCTCATCTACAAGGTCCCTCAAATGGCCTTGCCTTACCAGGTCTTCCAGGTGTGACTTCAGGGCTCTGCAACCGTGGGTCATATGCCTATCTTCATTATGGTAAGCACAATGCTTACCAATGCTTCGTCCCATAAACTCTCCTGGTACCCTTGCTGATGTTCTGAAA